TTGAAGTTGCATTTAAAATTTTAGATAATATCTATATAAAAAATCTTAAATAAGATGGTACAGTTTGATATTATGGAGAAATGTAACACTGTTTTATACCTATTAAACCACAACAACAAAAACAGCAAAAATAGCTGCAAGATGCCATTTACTTAAGGTGATACTGAGGTCAAGTGATGAATTTTTTGTTATTTTGTTGTTCGTTTGTCTTAAGAAATGGATGTAATACAATAAATGGCATTTTGAGTTGAATACATTTCTTTAAAGTTACATTAGTCCAAGGTCTATTTAAAAGCTTAACAACTTGGGGTAGGAGTAGGGGAAAAGCTTGACATTGAAATATTTATCAACTTTAGAATAGGATAAAATAGGCTGGGCTAGAATCTTCCAACACAAAGGACAATTCTAAATCTCTGAGCGCTGAACATAAATTTTTCATGGTTATAGTCTCCTAAAGATGACTGCACTCAACAAATCTTTTAGTGCAATAGAAAAGGTCTCCAGCATGATCTCAGTAAGAACTTCCTCCTTTACAGGATTTTCCTGTTTTAGTAAGGTGATTTTTATTTATTTATTTATTTATTTATTTATTTATTTTTGCTGAGGAAGAGTCACCCTGAGCTAACATATGTTGTCAATCTTCCTCTTTTTTTGCTTGAGAAAGATTAGCCCTGAGCTCACATCTGTGCCAGTCTTCCTCTACTTTATATGTGGGACACGGCCACAGCATGGCTAGTGAGTGGAGTAAGTCCATGCCCAGGATCCGAACCTGTGAATCCAGGCAGAGGAAGCATAGCACACAGAACTTGAACCACTCGGTCACAGAGCCAGGCCCCTAATGTGTTTATTATTAAACAAAGTAAAGATAATTTCTCTGCTCTCAATCTAGGCATACAATTCCTAATTGTCCCTCTTGTTAGAAAGGAAAGAAATATTCTTTCAAAGTCTGACTGACTTTTGGTGACAAGTTAGGGAATTTTATATACCCAGCTCACCCACTCAACTCTAGCTGAGATCAATGGGTAAGTCAGACCGTCTGGGTATGATGACTTGGTGGGAGCAACATAAAAATCAATTGCTGTTTCCACAGCATTATCAGTCATTCTGTTTATCTGCCTTATTTAGAATTTCTTCAGCAAAGACAAATTAAAATAGGTTTAGAATCCGTGGCTTTCAAACGTAGAAGGTGAATAATCTCCTCTCAGCCCTCCCCCAAGGTGACCGTTCTATAGACCTGAAATTCTGTCTTTCATTGACTAGCAAAGCTCCTGTTTCGTCCCTAATCCAGAATGCGTTCCACAAACATTCTGTGTGTGCCCTTTATGTATTAGACATGCTACAAAATGACACGAATACAAAGTGGAATACATTGCAGATTTTTCCCTCGAGAGTCACCTCTAAGGGAGACCATGTGGTTGAAGGGTTAAGAACATGGGCTCTGAAGCTCCCTCATCTGGGTTTGAAATCCAGCTCCATCACTTCCTGACCATGTTATTCTGTTTCTTCATCAGCAGAAAGATAAAAATAACAGTACTGAAGGTGTATAAAAGGTTTAGCACATTTGTCTCCGGCACATAAGAAATGTCCACTAAATAAACTGTTATTATCACATAAATATACATAATAATACCTCTCCTTCCTCTTCCACCATTTGGGTATGGGTTCCTTAAAGCAAGAAATGATAGAAGAATTCACAGTTGACTTGAAAATCTTGCGTACAAGGAAAATCAATGTTGTCTAATCCCCCCTCTCATAGAAGAGGATTCCAGAACAGAGATATGCACTGGGGACTTTGAGTGAGGAAGACGGATAGCTGACCTGAAGCTAGGGATGTGAGGCACAGGTAAACTGATGTCTGAGAACCAGGCAAGGTGGCTCCAGGAAGCAAGGCAGAACCCCAGATGGGTGTGTGGACAGCAAGATTAGATTTAAATCCAGGAATCTTCAAGAGCAGGCCACCCAAGGGGAACAATCTCTTCCTTGAGGTGGAGCTGAGGAAACAGGGACAGGGTTTGCCCTGCGAGCTGCTTGGTATTGGGAGAGGGGACCGAGTATAAGAGTACACCTAAGAAAGCCTTTATACACTTTTTTTTGTCTTCATTAAAATAAAATTATTAATTCCGAACACTGATAATATCAATGCCATTTACACATCTTGAGTTTGGAATGGGGTCTGTTGTACTCTTGATTTCTACTTACCAGACTTCACTCTCTTTCTCGTCTTCAACAAGGTGCCTGCAAATGTGTTTTGCTTTGCGGCAGATATTACACATGGTATATGGAATTAGGGTGATATATCTGTTTCTCCATCTGTATGTTCAGTGTATTGCTAATCAATAATTCATGACCCATTGACTTCTACTCCCAATCCTGCCTCATGGTCTCACCTTCCTACCTCTTCTTCTTCCTGGCTCCACAGCTCCTCTTTTTTTATCCTCTCCAGAGCCCCAGTGCCTGGTTGAATATCCTAGTTGTAAGTCCTTCTAGTTCTTCTATGTGAGCCACGGCCACAGCAGGGCAACTGACAGATGGGTGGTGTGGTTCTGCAACCCGGAGTGAACCCGAGCTGCCGAAGCTGTGCAAGAGCCGAACTTGAACCACTACACCATCAGGGCTGGCTCTCCACAGCTCTTCTTACCGAAGTCGCAGCTCCTTTCTCTCCCTTCTTCCCTCCTTACAAAACCACCCAAACGCAATTATAAGAATCAGAATTACCTTCTCCTCTCCTCTTCCTTTAACTTTCCCAAGACATCCTTGTGCAACCTTTGCCCCTTCTGCATCCACTTCACCTCGCTTTTCTATTTTGAATCCTCAGTCCTCTCACTTTCAATAATACCCAACGCAACGTACAAATGAAATTCACAAAGGACTCACAATTTACAAATGAAAGTTCTATGGTTATCAAAAAGATACATGAAAGTAAATTCCGTGTACTAGGATTTCACATGAGGGGAATTGCTGGTGAAGAAGGGATCACTGTAATCAGAACACTGATAAGGACCAAAAATAAAAACAACAATAAAGAAGAGAATGAACTCTGACTGGGAAGGGCCATGCAGGCTTCTCAGGAGACCAGTTGAGTCTTACAGGATGAATAGGAGTTCTCCAGGCAAAGTGGAGGGATTGGGAATTTCAGACAGAGAAAATGGCACATCCAAAGCTTTCCAGTTCTAGAAAGA